GTTTTCTGCTACCCTCAGACCTGCAGTAACTGGCAGCTCCACAATGTACAGGCTTGTGCACAAATGATCCAGGCACAGCCAGTTGTATGAAGTAAAGCTCCTAGAATGGATGATCACTCTAAGCCTATTTAAAATTGGAATCAATAACCTGTTTAGAAATAGCCATAGTTCTTGTCTAGATAATACATTTTTTCCTTAACTTCTGTTTTGTGAAGTCTGTTTGCCAAGTGAAGTTCACTTGAAGGTGCAGTTCCAAAGCTCCTGCCCCCACAGCATGGTCTGCCACTTCTGTAGCTAACATGGAAAAAATGCCACAAAACTAAAGTTTTGATTAAATAGTAGCACAAGAGCTGGAATGACCAGCTGATGTGATAGATAAACCACCTTTGAGGAGAGAATGTATGTGGACAGACAGGCCTTGGCAAGGAGGTGAACTCACATAGCTGCTGAAGCACCACAGAGAACATCAGCCATGCCAGGCCGAGATAAGAAATTTTTAACCAAATGCTTCTGAGGTTCAGGGTATTTAATCTTTTCACAAAGCACTGTCAGGAAAGGGATAAAGGAGGTAGCATTGAATACCATCTTCTTTTCTGGTTGTACAGGTGCTGTTCAGAGAGAGACTGGAACATCAAGACAAGAAATGCGACCTGTGCAGCAAAAGGAATCAGGTGCTCTGGGCTGGCAGTGTGGGGAATTGAGCTTAAGCATAACTGGGAGGAGTTCTAGAATAACAGTATCAGTAGTCATTCTAACTAATTTCTTAAATTTTGAAGGGGACTGTGTGCTAGTTTGAGTGGTACCTGAGCACAGGAACCCTTACTCATGGATTGGAGTGCCCCTGTGAAGCAGCTGTTACAAAAAAATCCAGTTTATGGGGATAATTTGTGTACCACAGTAAATGCTGTTGATCTGTGTCCTGCTCAGTCCAGTGAGTGTAGATAAGCTGAATCTTGTGTAGATAAGCCAGTCTACAATAGCTGCAGTTTTTTCAGCTTAAATGAAACTTGCCTTAGAGGTACTTTTGCCATCTTCACAGTCTCTGAACAAAACAATGGGCAAGTTGCAGTGTGACTTCCTAAGCTGTCACAACCAGCACTCTGGAGCTGTGACAAAACACTAACAGTTTGGGCTTTTGGTTTGTTTTTTTTTTTTTTTTCTTTTTTTGGTAAAGATGAGTCTCAGCTGAGCACAGAAGAAAAGCTCCGCCGGCTGCAAGAGGAGAGGATGTGCAAAGTGTGCATGGACAAAGATGTGTCTGTTGTGTTTGTTCCCTGTGGCCACCTGGTAGCTTGTGAAGAATGTGCCCTCCATTTGAGGCTGTGTCCCATCTGCAGAGCTGTCATCCAGGGCAGTGTGAGAGCCTTCATGTCCTGAGCCGTGGTGAACCCAAAGGGGAAGATAAATCCATACAACTCATTGATCACTCAGCAGAAGGAGAAAATAAGTAATTGCTGGAGCAATCTTATTTGCAGGGTGGCCTGGCATAAGTGTAAAAACTCACTGAATGTGTCTCCCATGCACAGTGTTGCTAGGAAGAGCTGCTGGTTTGATCTACTCTTGCTTTAGGACTGCTCCAGGAAAACTCTGCTGGGTTCTTTAGTCCTCCAAAATGAGGCTTTTATTGACAGAGATTCCTCTTCTCCACATTTTTGTGTTCTCAAGTGAACCTTTGCTCTGTGTTGAAATCAAAGACGGTTTTCAGCAGACTCTGGTTTTTTCTCACTTAGCAGCTGTCTAGAGATTATTCTCTTAGAGATTCCTTCAGGAAGTTTGATTGAAAATGGGAGTGTTTTTTGTACAAAATGCATTCCACTGGGACTAGAATACTCGGCAACAATGTGTTGTGGGGGAGGGAGTATCTATCTTTTTCTTCCCTTTTTGCTTTTTTTTCCCCCTCCCCTTTTTGTTGAATTTTCAACAACTGATGAAATGTTTCAGTAATACTCAAATTTGCATAACTAAGTGGAAGAGTCTGGCCTAACTCTCCAAGCTCTCTGCTCTCAGCTGACCTCCGCTGGTGGAACGTTCTGTGCTCAGGGTCACTGGATGGTTTCCTAGAAGCTTCTTATGGAGCTCTTCCCTGGCTGTTGGGTATTGTCCTGGTAGAAAAAAGCTCTGGAAATACACCTTTTTAGAACATCTGTTTGCTGGCTAAACTAGTGATTCTTATTTAAAATGGAATAATCTATCATGTAGCCAAAGAGAGCAAGTTTCATCCACAATATCCCTTGTTAAGTGAAGGGAAAGGAAATAAGTTTTTAAAAATAAACTGTTCTTTTTCATGGAATAAAATTTTTCCTTTATTTAACTTAGAGGTCTGAGTATCTGATTCTAGTACAATTCCCCACTGAGGGAGGGGTGTGGTGATGTCCTGTAGGATGTTGGAGTGACATCAGGTTGTAAATCACATCTGTCCTTCAGTGCTACATGGGCATGAGTAAGAAAAGCAGTTGTTCTTACCATCCTTTAGTATCCTTTGGAATTTACCAGACATGTGGTTTGTAGAGCCTTAGAATGGTTTGGTTGGAAGGGGCCTTAAAACTCATCTCTTTCCAACCCCCTGCCATGGGCAGGGACACCTTCCACTGCCCCAGGTTGCTCCAAGCCCCTTCCAGCCTGGCCTGGGACACTTCCAGGGATCCAGGGGCAGCCACAGCTTCTCTGGGCACCCTGTGTCAGGGCCTCACCACCCTCACAGGGAAGAACTTGGCTCCTCAAGATTCTCTGAAACTGCAAAAGAAGGGATCAGGATGAAGGAGAATAAGGATCTGATACATGAAACTGTGCAAATGTAGAATAATTCTGATCTGAACTCTACAAAGAGTTTTGGTGGGTGGTTCTTTAGTGTATTTGTGGCTCTGGAACTGCTTCTCTTTGGTTCCAGCTCTGGTTGCCAAACAGCTTAGGGGCTTGCCTGTGAGTCACTTTAAGATGTCATTATCTGTGGATCCCATGGGAGGGCAGCTCTCTTCATCCCTGCCCTCAGAAGAAGGGAATATTAGCACAGTTCTTGGCAAAGATGAGAGGAATTATGATTTGAGTGGTTTAAACTCTGCAACTCTTGGAGGAATTGGTTGGGTCTCTGCCAGACAGCAGCTTTCCTAGGGAACAGAATGTCACCACCATGCCAAATTAGGTCTTGTCTGGATTCAGGATATCATTGGCTTTGTTTTGCCTCTATAAATACAGCACAAATTTATAGTTTAAATAGATGTGCTAATCTGAGAAGGGAAGACACCAGCTCAGTGCTGGAACAGTGTTACTCCTCCCAAACTCACCTGGGTGTGACTGGAACTGCAGTGTGAGAATGGTGAATGGCCTTTCCACCCCAGGGAAAGGGAGGAGCTGGTTTGTTTTCCTGCGGGGAAATGTCCCTTCAGAACCAGGTACCACGTTGTTCTTTGAGAAGCATCTCCAGTGATGCCTGTCCCCAACAGAGGGCACTCCGAAACTGGAGATAAGGGAACCCACAACCTTCACTGCTCCTGGATCACACGGAGGATGGGTGGGATGGGGTGGAACGGGCTGGCAGTCCCTGCCCTCCCAGAGCACTGTACTCTGTCACCTTGAGGTGCTCAGTGAGTCCAGCACAAGCCGACCACGAGGGGCTCTCAGGAATAATGCATGGGCTGGCAGTCCCTGCCCTCACAGAGCACCGTACTCTGTCACCTTGAGGTGCTCAGAGTGAGTCCAGCACAAGCCGACCACGAGGGGCTCTCAGGAATAATGGCTCTGCTAATGAAACCTGGAGGAGATAATTAAGTGTGGAATATGACCCTTGGTAGCTTTGCCTCTTCTCAGACCCATTTTTTTTGAAATTATGATTAATGGCAGTCATTGATACTGTGTGTTATAGGCTTACCTGAAGATGGGTTTGGTGTTTATTTTACCTCTGTTAATTGGTGCTTTATGCTACAATGAACAATTGAGTGGTAGTTCTGAAGTGACTCAGTCATCACACTTTTATTTCATTGACCTTTACCAGTGGGTATTAAAGCCAAGGGGCAACGCTGTTAAGTGCAGAGTTTGATGCTTTATCTCTTTGGAGTGCTTGGTAAGTGGTTTTGATCAGTTTAATTGGTGAAAGTGGCATCAGAGCTTGGTCAGTTGAAGAGGTGTAGTGTTAAAAACCTGCAGATCTCAATTCCCAAAGTTCCCTCCTCTGACCATCTAGAGGAATTGCTTCCTGAAACTACCAGTAAAATGTTTCAGGTATTCAGAGATGAAACTGTCCTTTTTCCACCACCTGTGCTGAATTTTGATTGTTCCCAAACAAGGCTGACAAAGACTGCTGGTATCTGATTGATAATATTCTCTCTGAGGAAAAGAAATCATATTAAACCCAAAATGTGTGAAGTCAGTGCTTAATGAGAAAAGGAAAGATTAATTTGAGAAGACCCAAACAAATGATAAACCTTCCTGGGAAAATCTCATTGAATAGAGGATGTGTATTCTTCTTCTCCTTTTTGTTTTTCTGCCTCTCCAGGGAACATTAGGTGGGCAGACAGGAATGAGTGTGATCCAGAAAGAAAGTGAATAAAGGAGAGGTGGAGAAAGAATTCTATGTGTGTGCACATGGCTGTGTGTATCTCAAAATGGAGAGTAGCTTGTATTTCGTTGGTATTTTTAAACTTGGTAGTGATAACAATATTAGTAATAAAGGAGGTAGGTGTGTTTTGTCATGCAGAGCTATCAGGGTTGAGCTTTTTTCTTTGAGGTATTAAACTAGGATGAAACTAGTTGTCTGTTTTTCTCAGTCAGAAGCTGTGGATTTTGGTGCCTAAAAGAAGGGAAAAGACACCCTACAGAAAACACCATTTTTACTTGCAGCTGCACCCAAGCAGAACTTAGGATGTTTGGGTATCTGGAACAGAACTTGCACAGAAGCAAAAAATACTCTCTCAGATCTTATATATTTGGAGTTTATAAAAGACAATTTTGCTTCCTGGGCCCAGTGGAATGAGAGAAAAAAAAAAAAAAAGCTGCATCATTCTTTCATTTAGCACTTAATGTTTTTATTTTTGTTTTTAATTCTTCCCTCACACTTCTCCCTAGCATGGCTTCAAGCTTGACCCTTCTGAAGAGCATTTCTCAAAAAATGCCACGTAATCCCAAACAAATTAGGCAAGACAATAATGAATTGCAACAGCACTTGAAGTATCAGCCCAAAAAGGCCAGGGCTGGCTGACGACTGCTCCTCCTCTGCTTTTGACACTTAACATGCTGGGAGACACAGCTAACCAAACTGACTTGGTTTTGTTGTTCTTTTTAATCAACTGCTGCAGCTCATTAATGCAACTTAATTACACTTGTATTCCCCCTCCAGCCCTCTCCCTCCCCTCAAAAAGCCTGTCATAAATGAAGCTCTTCCACCAGGCTGTTACCGTGGAATAGGTGTGGCTCTAGGTGAAGAAGGCAGGTGCAAACCCACCTCTGCTCCATGAGGAACTGGGCCTTTTCCAGAGCCTGCAGCAGGATTCAGCTACCCCAGGGTTAATTTAACGTAGCTGGGCAGACCCAGAGTAAGCTACAGCTGCTCCAAGAACGGCTGGGCTGGCTGGAAGGGGGTGAAGCTGCGTGCTGAGTGAAGAGCTGATGGCTGCAGTAGTTTCCAGCTGTTCAGCATTACAGGAGCCAGGCCACAGAACCCTGAGCTCCAGGACAAAAGCCTACTGCCATGTCTACAGAGCAAGGGGGTCCTGGCTGGGTGGGGACAAAGGAGGGAAACGTTCTCACCTATAACTTAGAACCCAACAATGCCTAAGTAACTCAAGTGTAAAGAGCCCCCGCCTCATTTTATACAGGCAGGGAGGAGATGAAGTTGTGTTAGGGGATTTAGGCTCTGTTCAGAAAAAGGGAGGAAACTAACTACGGAAAATATGAAATGTCCCAGGGTGTTACGCAGTGCTTCCTTCCTTCTGGATCCAGGGCACAAGGAAGCAGCTCCAACTTCAACTGTAGCTCTTGAGAGAGGCTCGTGGTGAACTTGTTCTGCCAGAGGTCTTTAGGCCTGTGCCATTTCTGGGCCAGTACCAGCAGACCGTGGTAGGAAAGGTTCGTCAGGGCACTTGGAGGATTAAAAACCAACTGTGTGGCCATTCTTTGATGTACATTCATTGCGTTTGAAAAGAAGACAAGGAACGAAAAAATGGAGTGGAGTTCACCATCCTGCATTTCCTCTGCCAAAGATCCAGGCCCCAGGGGACTGTTTCCTGCAGCACCTTTGGTGGAGTGCAAGGTTTATCCATCCTCTGGCTCCTCTTCACTTACGCAGGCCTATAAAAGAGGAAAAAAGGTGAAGGCAGGCTGTGAGTGTGGAGCAAGTGCTCAATGGCTGTCTTTATGCAGCAGAAATGGTGTGGAAATAATGAGAACAATTTTTTCTTTCCTCTTCTGGACTTTTAAATATGATTGACTACAGATGAGGAATAGGATTGAGAGCTTACAAGTAATGTGGTTAAGTAGGCTTCAAGTCTGGAAAGAATGCAATGCATGTGTCAGACCTGAATATGCTGCAGTTAGGCTCAAGTGTTAGATCTATGGATCTTCAGCATTTGGAGCTGCATAAAATTTGGTTAGAAACTTAAAAAGCTAAGGGTCATCTTTAGGATAAAGGAGCTGCTTGAAATTGCAGTGATGTGCTTTTGGTGTAGGTGCAGCAGGATAAGCAGATCTACTTTTGGAGCCAGCAGTAAAGGTGAGTGAATGCTTTTGGCTGAAACATCACCTCTTACACATGCAGCTTCAGGATGATCAAAAGAGTTTGCGAATTCATGTTGTTTGTTTGGGAAAAAGTCTACCTAGAAAGAGAAGCAGAAGTGTTTTGTTTTGTGTTTTTTCTCTCCTCAGAACAAAGTGGGATTTTTTCCTGTTTAAGTTTCCTTTGTAAATTATTCTGCTTGTCAAAGTTTGGAGAAGATAGGTGGGAAAACAATTCTAAAGGAGTTTGCCTCCCCCTCTTTTTTATCCCAGTGTCTCAGTCTTGGACTTTGACTTTTTAACTTAACATTATTTGTGTGCTGGTACACATTGGTGTATTGAAGAACCCACTTTAAGCCAGTAAGGGATGATGGTTGTATGGGGACAAATCCTTTCATGCTCACAGCTGCTTCGTGCCTCTGGCCAGCAGACAGTGGCCCACAAAAGATTGACCAGGGACCATTAAGGTGAGCAATTGCCAACTGGAGCCTCAGATCCCTCAGTGAACCAGTGCCTCCTGTGGCTGCCCTGTCAGTACTGAGGTCTCCATCTGATAAAAGTCACACCCTGTGTTAACACAGGGCCCTTTCCCCTCGTAGGTCTGAGGGAAGTCCATAAAAGCCGACTCCACAACTCACATTAAAGCTCTGAAGCCCCTAAAGTGATGCAGTACTTGGGGTGCCACATCAGCGTTAGGGGCTGGAGCCTCACAAAGGTGCAGTTCACTGCTTGGCCTTACAAACACAATCTTGAAAGGCAAGAAGACCTAGTGCTTGTCCCTGTACCTTTTAAATAAACAGAGAGCACCTCCTGCCATCCAGCAGGTTCTTGATTTAGCACTACCCTGTGTACAAAATCACACTTTGAGGCTATTCTGCTTTATAATTGAGATTGCACAGTGCTGCTTTCCAAAACAAATTTGGAGAGTGATGTCAGGAAACTGAAAGGATTCAGCAGGCAGGAGGGGCTGACAAATGCTCAGGATGCTCTGGGTACTTGGCAGGTACTGCAGGGCCTTGGAGAGAACAGCTTGAGTGAGAAATGTCAAAGCTGGCTTGGCCAGCACTTCCAGCTATTGGTGCAAAAATGGTTTTTTGCCTCAAGTGATGAGGATTCTGTTACTACAAATGAACAAACAAGAAGACAAGCAACGCAGAGCTGAGGTCCTGAGCTGTGCAGCACAAGGGAAGAAAGACAGTGGTGCCAGCAGGTATAACCTGAACTTGTGCTTCACTTGAGGGAGGAGAAAGGGTTGAACAATTCTTTCTTCCTAAAAACTCACTGGAAATACTCTTTTAGCCTCAGGTGAGCAACTCTGTCTCTCCAGAAGTGATTTACTGTCCTTTGCACAAGTACTTTGACACAGAACCTCAGGCACTGAAGACTTTAACATGTCTTCCATCAAGAGTGCTAATATATTATTATTAAATAATTAGTGTGGTGCCTTGATTGGTAATCAGCAGTGAGTTAAGCAATTCTTTTGTACAGTAAAACTTCCAGAACAATTTTCTTCATGATAGTTTGAGCCTTTTTTACTTAAGGTTGTGACTTTAAACAGTAACTATCACAACCAAACCCCCCTGAGTCAACAAAATTTGAACAAAAGCAGTTGTGGAACTTGAAACAGCAATAACTTTATTTTTAGAATACCATTGTTGCTGTGTGACTGTTCAAGGTAGGAATTGAGATGAGCACTCTAAAATCTTACCTTTGTAAACAACAGTACAAAATGATGATTGATTGTTGTTTGTATCTTTTTTTAAAGACAAAAAATAACGCCTGATTTGAAATATTTGTGAGGTTTTCCACTGACTGGAGGCTGAAAGCTGAGGTCAGGGAGATCATTATGATAAAGCTGGGACATCCCTGGATTATGGTGTGGAAGCATTATCAGTAACAGTTTGGGGAGGTGTTTTTTCCTCCTGGCAGGAGGCAAAGGTATTTAAGAACTTCAGTCAGTGCTGTGGCTGGAAGCTGAAGGCCAGAACTGGGGTGCACAGTTTGAACACTGAATTTAGCAACTCATGTAATTGTTCTGTGGGGTCTCAGATCTCTAAAAACTCATAAATTCAGAGATAAGAAGATAGACTTGAGAAAAATGCAGGAAAGGGCACAGAAAGAATGGGATCTCATCAGAAAAGGAGAGGTAAATCTGGAGTGAATAGGATAATTCCATTAGGGAATGAAGGAAAGTGATCCTGTTAGAGAAGTGTGGCAGCCCAGAAAATGCATCTGACTGCAGCCAAGGGGGTGATGCCACCCTAAAATGAAAGTTCCTGCTTGCAGTCAGCTCCAAGTGATCAGTTGTAGAATAAATTTGGTTTCATTCAGCATTTCCATCAACAAAAAGGAGATCAAACCAGAAACCCCATGTTCCTGATCCTTAGCTCTTCTTAAATTTCAAATAACTTGGATGTATTTATTGTTTCACATCTTCTTGAAGAGAATATTAAAAAAAAAAACCAAACAACCTGCCTTCAAATCATCACTAAATGATTTTCACAGCTGGACAAGGGCACCTGGCAGTCAGTGCCCCAGCCTGCAACACTCCATGGCACCATAACCTGGGAATGAATTATCCCTTCCTCCCCTCACTCCCATTCACTCACATGGAAAAGAGGCAATAGGCTGAAATAAAGAAACTAAAATTGCTATTTGGTGGCTGCTGAAATTTATAGAGGGTCGCATTATCTACAGCTCAGCAGCTGTTTTCACCTTCTGTTAGCCTGAAAGAAATATTATTTTGTGCTGGAAGAAAATATCAACAGGGAAGTGATGGGCTGAAGAATGGGAGGGAGGAACAGCAAAATTATCTGTGGACCTGAGCAGCAGCTTCCCCTCTCACTGAGGCCCTGGAAGAAAGTTTTACATTGCTAACTTCTCTTCATATTACAATCTCCCCATACAGGAATCTTCATTTAGAAGTGATAGCTTCTTTCACCAGCAGAATTGGTCATTTTAAGAAAAAAGCAGCCCAAACCCTGTACTGTAAAAGTGTGATGCTTCTTCAGCACACTGCTGCATCCAGCTAGTAAATCAGGGAGCTGCTTAAAGCTGCACAGCTTCTGCAGACTATGAAAAATTCCACCCCACTGTGACAAAATGAGAGAGAAATCAATATTTAATCTCCTGTAGCATCCCTTGTAATAACACTAGAGAACCCCCAAAGTTACAGGGAATTCAATGGCTTTGCAGAAATTACTTGTATTCCTGATGTTGTGCTGCAGTGACAAAGTGGGCAGTAAGTCCTTATGAAATTAGAGGGGCACATCTACCACTCTACCTCAGGGAAGTTTTTCTTCCCTCAGCCCCACTCTTTTCCACCATCCTCACATCCTTCTTTTTGGCAGGATTCTGGTAACATTGTTCCTGAAAAACAGCCTCCCTCAGCAGCTGCTGTAAAAAACTTCCATGTGTTGAACCGCCTCTTGCAGATCAATTTAAAGAATATAAAATCAGATCTCACTGCTGCTTTAAACACACAGAACTGGCCTTTGTGTTTGAGAATCTCATTAAGAAGCAGCTTTTAAGTGGACAGAGTGAAATTGTGATCTTGTGCCTCAGGGTAGAAATGGGAATTCAACAGTGTCCCTTCATTACTGGTATGACAGAAGCTGCTGTGGACAACTCCCCTTTCTGCTCTCAGCTGAGCTCTTGGGCTGCCCCACACGTGGAAGGCTCAGTTCTTGGAGGCAACAGAACTTAAAATTATTTTGGGGCTGAGAAAGGGCAGCTTCACCCCTTCTGGTGTCCATTTGTTCATTCCTTCCATGCCTGAAAAGCCTGTTGGAGAAATCAACCTGCAAGGAGGGCAAAACCCAAAGCTGTGGTACCCTTGAGCCATGAAACCAAGAAGCACGTGGAGTCTCTTAGCACTGATGATACTTACAGGTATGTCTGCTTGAACAAAAGGTTGGTGGGTTTTTCATTGACATGGTAGAGAGGAAATGGATCAAATCCACCAATGAAATCAACTGAAAAAAAATCAAAACTCAAATAAACAAACAAACATGGCCAGAAAGTTGAAAGGAAATGAAAGGAAGGTGAATGTCATGGCATAAACACAAAAATTAATGACAGAACAGAAAAGTGATTTTTTCAGGTATGGATTCCTGGGATGGGCAAGCGTGCCGAAGAGGAGATTTCAGCTAACACAAAACTTAAAGCAGAGCTAACAAAGACTCCAGAAAAGCCCCTTGGGTATTGCCACCACGCTGTGACTGCACGTGAGAGGAGCAGACAAAGCCAGAGGAGAGGACAGGAAGCTGAGAACGGCTCCTGAGCAATGCCAGGGAGAGCTTGGCAGCACAGCCCTCCCCATGAAGGTTACACAGCAAAGTGGGAATTTTCTTGCCCCACTTGTCTTTCCTGCAAGACAACAGCAGCTTTGGAGAACTGCAACCAGCTCATTATCTCCAGCTCTGGTATTTTTTGCATCTCCTCTTGCCAAGTGAATTTCTTTTGACTGTGCACAAGCAGGAACAATGCCTCCCTTCTGCAGGGCTCAGGGAGGGCAGCGTAACTCGGCAGGGACAGCTCCAAGGGACAATTCCCTCAGCAACCAGGGAAGAATTTTCCAAGGCTGTCTCAGCTCCCTGGACTTCAGGCCAAGGCTGCAGCACAGAGCTGGCCAGGGCAGGAGGGTGTCAGGTGCTGTGATTTGTCACTGACCTCACAGGCCTTGCAAAACCCTTTAAAACTGACCCAGTTTGGGTCATTTTTTGGTGCCAAGTTAGTACATTTTGTATGGAAGTGTGAAAACCATCCTGTCCAACTGCCATTTAAAAATAACTGGAGAGTTTTATTAACTATTTAAGTGCCTGTTTATTTTTCTTTCCTGAAGGTGGCACTATTATTTTAAATTTAAGCTGAAGAGGTTTGAGGTTTTTTGCTGGTCAAATAATAGAAAAAATATTTACTAATATACTAGATGTGAAAAAAATCCAAACTTCTTAAAATATATTTAGAAACCTAAGGACAGCAAATTCTGAAAAATTCCATCTTGACGGAGAGCTTCAGGCTGACACTGCAATGATGGGACAACTAACAGGTAATGGGTGAAATCTCCAGAGGTTCTAAGTTAATTGTGGGGATAATTCCCAAATAGTTTCAGTGAAACTTTACCTTTTCTCAGCCACTTTTGAAAGTGTTTGAGTACTCTAAAATCAAAACAGCACAGGCTGCCATTTTAAACAAAACCAAGTTATTAACTTTATTACCTCAGTTGTGGAACACCTAAATTGGGAAACTTTAAAGAACTGCAGTTTTCAGTAACTACTGAGTATCTTGAACAAACACAAGTCTTATCATCTGAACACACAAGCATGAGGGCACTCAAAATCCAAGACACTTAAAAAAATAAATCTTAAGTGTGGTTCCTTGTGATTCAATACATTGCATTAGCACATCTAAAATATTCTTGCCCACAATTCAGCATTAGTAGGTCCCTACTGCTGTGTTTTCTCATGAAAATCACGTTAGCATGAGCTTCCTGATTAATGTGCCTCTGCACTTATAATTACTTCATGCTGCATATCAAAGCAACATTTAAAGGAAACCACAAATGGAAGAGAAAATTAAAACGCAGCTCAAATTTATTCAGGTCACTGGAAGGATCTACCCCTGTGAGTGTGAAATATTGATGGTTTGTCATTGTTAATTATTCAAGCTGGCATTTTAACTCCAAGCTGGGAAACTGGGAGGGAAAGTGAATTTGTTAGTGGGGAAGAAAATACATATCCTGAAATTACCAGCTCTGTGTTTCCTAGATAAAGCTTCCTTCCATGTTGTTGCCTCTCCTAACAAATCCCTACTATAAAAATTAGTTCTGTCAAGTTATTGTTTTGCAATGTTCAGCAAGGGCTCAGAACTGGAGCTATTTAGCTAATACAAGAGCTATAGCCTAATTTAAAAAATATTACTATAATGTAGCACCTTCTCTAAGTGCACTGCCAAGCTCTAAAGAAATGATCAATAAAGCCAGGAGAATGAGTTCAGCCAGGAAGGAAGGAAGAAAAAACCATAAGGACAAGGCAGATAAGTAATGCATCTCCTCTCACTCCTGTGAAAACACATTCTTCACATTCAAATATTCAGTTCAAAGCTGTTGTTTTCCAGCTCTTCTCCATGCCAGCTGCTCTTTAAAACAACAAAGCTACTTGCACAAACCTAATCAATGCCTTAAAAGAATTGATACTTGGATGTGAAACCTTTGGATGGGATCCTTTGCCAGAGCAATCTGGCCTAGACCCAACACATTGCCAAACAAATCCAACTTTGCATTTACTTTACGGATCCATTTTTTCTGTTTGTAAAATCATTGCTCTCAAAGGGCATTTTAGAGGGACAAAGCAATCCAGGAGCAGCTGGATACCTGCACAGGTGCCACAGACCTGTGGGTCTTTACCCTGACACAGTGACTGTCACTGAGGAGATTTGTGTACCCAACACGAGGGAGCTGCCTCCTTCCTCTCGTAATTCAAATACAGCACTTCCTCTGCTCTTAAATTAAGTGGTCAGATTGCTTCTTGGCAAGAACTCTCATGATCTGCTTCATGGCCTCAGCTTGTGGCACATGAGACTCTGCAGGTCTCCCACTTGAGCCCTGGGCTGAGAGCTTTGTTGTAGGTGCTTTTAATCACAGCAGTAATATTTCAGAGCCATTATTCTCAGGCTGTATGAGCTTGGGAACAGAAGCAGCTGCCCAGTTTCTCTAAGGCTTAGTCCAGCTGAGAAGCCAAAACCAAACTCTTTTTGTGCTCTAAGTGTAGCAGAATTACACCATCTAACACAGAGTGACATGGGGAACAAAACCCTCACAGTAAAAACAGCTGATCCTTGAGGGGTAGTTAGTGCCATAACACACAGAGGCAGAGATGGAAAGAAGTCTGATGGCAGCTCAGTCCTGACAGACAAACATCTGAGAGAGAAATAAAATTTACTAAACCCTTTGCCAAGGGATCTGTTGATAAATACTTACAGCTGTCTTCTTCTTCTGTAAAAACACTAACCACGTAACAGGCGTACACAAAGCCCACCAGCTGGAAAAGAGAGAGAATAAATCATTTTAGCATCAGCCAGCGTGAGCCTGGTCAGAACCCACTGGGCACAACTTCAACAGGCACTATTTACACTCAGCTTGGCAGCATTTCTGTCACTGTGGAGCCAAGCCATATTTGCTGTAGGGAGGGAGGCAGGTGTGCGTGTCAGGGAAGGCACTGATGGAGCACACCCAAAGCTCCAGAAGGAAAACTTGTAAGAACCATCCTCACCTTCAGAGTAGCACTTTCAGTTGCTTGAATGATTGGCAAGAACATGGGTTGGCTTTGTTGAAACTTAAACTACTGTGCTGAGTTAAGTCTCTGTAAGAAGTAGTGGGGATACAGGAGAGGGCCTTGTGGGACAAACAATGCACAGAATTTCAATGACAATGAACTCATCAGCTCAGCATTCCTGTCATATGGGGTAAGTGACCAATTAAAGGTGAGTGGTTTTTATGCAGATGAGATAGAAAATTAGTTAAGCATAAGCATGGTTCTGTACTGGCAGAAATGTTCAGACCCAAAATCTTTAGTAACTTGGTCGTTTCTAGAAGCTCTAAAGCATCAGAGCTGCCTCCTTCAGGCTCACTATCAAGGTGCTCCTTAGCCTAAACAGAAAAACAAACTCCTGGTACTATGGGCATTCCAGATGCAGCAGGGTCTTATTTTGCTTTGCCTTCTTCCTGTTAATCAAATATCCTCTCCATCCTTCATTTCACATCTTTACATAACACCCCACTTAGCGAGATCTTGGTTGACAGTAACTGCATTAGTAAAGTTATTGTGAGGCATAATTGTTTTCCACTGTGAACTCAATTCCTGGGAACAAGAGTCAGCCTGTAACACACAGTGACTCACTCCAAGTGGAGACAGAATGATGCATGGGAGGGCTTGAAAAGTAGAGTCCATTCATTTCTAATATGACAGAAAAATACATCACACCCGAAAACAAAAGGCAGGATAATGAGATTTCTGCTGGGGAGTTTTACAATATTTGTGGTTTCTCCAGCTCTCCCTGACAAAACACTCCTTGTTGGGAGGAAATGGAATGTTTTTGTAGCATCACTAAACCCTGCTATTCCTTTGAAGATTTTTCTATAATCATCTAAAAGAGAAGGCAGCTCACTCTTGTGTGAGTCTTATGGGAGCACATCCCAGAACCTCAGTGGAGGTAAGGGGAGCTCTGGGGACTCCCTCATTCCTCTGCTGGGCATTTCTGAAACCAAGACTGCTTCAGGATAAGCTCCTGTGAGCTACAGGAAAACATAAATCCTCTGGCCACATGCAATGACCAATCTAATTGTACCTGCTGCCTTTTAGAACTGTCTCAGAATAAACTATCACTGTTTAAGGCAGACAAATCAAAACCCAACAGAATATCAGAGATTTTTCCTTTCTCCTATGTAATACAATAAAACCTAGGAGGTTTGGTTTGTTTGGTTTTTTTGTGAAGTTTGTGGCAGTTTTTGGGCAGGTCAGCGCAACAAAGCTGGGGAGGGGTCTGGAGCACAAGTTTGATGAGGAATGGCTGAGGGGGCTCAGGAGAAAAGGAGGCTGAGGAAGGACCTTAATGCTCCCTGTGACTCCCTGGAAGGAGCCTGTAGCCAGGTAAGGGCTTTCTTCTCCCAAGAAACAAGCAGACAATAGGAAATGGCCTCAAGCAGTGCCAGGGGAGGTTTAGATTGGATACTGGGGAATATTTCATAATCAAAAGTTATGCAGCCCTCACACAGGCTGCCCAGGGCAGCGGTGGAGTCACCATCCCTGAAGACATTTACAAGACAAGTAGATGTGGCACTTGGGGACAGGTTTAGCGGTGGGCTGGGCAGTGCTGGGGGAGCTCGGGGGTCCCGGGCATTTTTCCCAGCCCAAGGGCTCGCCCGGCCCGGGCTCTGGCCGTGGTGCTGAAGCCCCGGAGCCGGGAACCTCCCGCTCCTCCCTGGGCTGCGGGACCTGGCCCAGGGGCTCTTGGAAAAACACAGTGCATCCTGCACGTCCCAGCACTCCGAGAGATGTCCAAGCAGCCTTCTGCACATCCTGATCTCCAGCATAAAGGCATTTAAACCTCAGTAACAAATTCAGTGTGCTCACATACATCCTCTGTACTTGCTCGAGCATTTTTATAGTTGCAAGATCCAGCCTCTTATATCAGGTCAAATTTACACAATTTACACACACACACACATATCCAGGCAGGAAAGACGCACCCTGAATACACACCCTGATTCCAAGGGAACTCTAGAAACGTTTTTTCCCTCCCCAGATTTCCCATCACCTCTCAGAGTAGGAGCTTTGGGTTAACAGCCATGCAAAGTGGCAGCCCTAAATCCACTCACTGCAATTATAGTCTATAACACATAGACACAAATCTCGTGTGGTACCTGTGTCAGGAAACTCCGGATAGAATTACCAATGAAAATGATTTACCTGCCCAGTTTATGAGCAGAGTCAGGGGCGATTATCAGCTGTACTGTCACAGCAAACGTGATAAAGCTCTGGACATTTTTCACGCTTCAGAAGCGCCAAGCAATGTGATTGACTTGGGAAGTTTGTTTTGCACAGAAATTAATGCTCCATAACCCTCAACCATCATTCTGCTCACCCCATACATTTTTCACTTTATGACTAAGGTGACTTTTTTTTGCATTCAGAAAAACAAACCAACCAATCAAAACCTAGTGAATTAAGTGAACTTTCTAAATCTCTAATCCCAGCTTCATTGAGCAGAGCGTTTTCTTTTTTGATTCCTTCAATCTCCTGGCTTTGTTTCAAAATCATCTGCTTAGTGTTTAAAATTTACTTTTTATTGACTTTATAATCCATTCCTTCTTTAGATGTGTTTCAGCAATAAAAAAAACAAAACTTGTTTATTTAGTGGAACTTTTTATTCAAAGAAGCTTTGTCTTGTGATCTGGCCAGAACAGGAGAGTCTCAAAGGCAAGGGGGGAAGAGATATACAACATAAATATGAAGTCCAGTTTTTTATGTGCTGACCTAAACTGTAATTAAATACTCCAAAGGATTTTATCTGTAATTAAATAACTTCAAATTAAATAATCTCAAGGATTAACTGAACTCATGGGAATCCCCATGTCTCACCTTCAGAATAAATTATGAATGAAATATAGCTAAGGAGGAGAAATGCTGCTCCTATTGTCCAGTCTTTCCCCTGGAAGAGTCTGCTGGAGTGTGGAATGAGCAGTCTCCAGGAATCACCTGAAACTCCCTTCTGCCTGTATCTTTGATAACGATGTGTCAAACCCCCAAACCTCACCCAGTTTATCAGCAATTAACACACAACAGGAAGCTTCACAGAAGCCAACGATTTGGAATAATTTCACCCTTGCTCCAAGTGCCATCCTGACTGCTGATTTCAATACAAAGGAGGGGTTTAAGCTCTGCATCCCAGGGAAATACCAATAATTCCTGGATCTTTGCAAATTACATCGGGGAGGTGGAAGAGGAGGGAAAACGTCAGCGATGTAAAATGACACTAAGCCACTGCTCTAATTCCCCAAAGAATGTTCCAGGGCTTTAGCCTCTGCTGCTGTTTCTCTGCTTGTTCTGCATGTGCAGCACCAGCCTCTCCAAGCTGCAGAAGGATCTGATTAAGCTTTTTATGAGGAACACATGTTGAGGGCAGGTGTGTTGTGTCAGCCTGGGAACGCACACGCTGCCCCACAAGAGAGGAGGGAGCAGGGCTGCCCCGAGCACTCTGCAGGCAAACAGAGTGGGAAAGACAGGAAGAGACAAGTGTGCCCCAAGGGAACGGGGGAAACATATGTCTGAGCATCCCCCTGCCCCTCAGTCCTCTGAAGGGAACTTTTTAATAGAGAGTTGAAAACTGTTCATCAAACAGCAGCGTTGAATGAAGGCGCTGGAGCCAGAAAGAGTAAATTAGAGAAAATCCTGGAGAAAGGGACCAGCTGGCTGCAAGTATGCAAAATACACAAAGGATGGGAAGGCAAATTTCAGGAGTTGTTACTGTTACTTGTGTAAGATCTTAGCTTTAGTTTACCTCTGTCCTAGTGAAGATTCTCTAACTCTCAATAGACAAACTTGCCACTGCATTTTCCACCACAGAGAATAGGTGCAAAGACTCCTCTTTCAGGCAGATGCATTCTAGGTGTCCTAATCAGAGCTAATGGAAGGTGCACACTGACATCAGTGCAAGAGGGACAATGAAGGGATGTCTGTTATGAGAAAGCAAAAATCCAGCTTGTGAAAGAGCTGTTGTGACCAGATAGCTAAAGAGAGGCAATCAAAATCCTTTAATTCCTTGACCTTCTTTACTCTTTGCATGCAATTACAACCACTGAAAATCTACCTTCTGCCAAGAGCAAGGCATCTCTTGCACACTGGTTCTCACATAACATCTGCTGTCAAGGCTTGCCTTGCTGCCTCCCTGGGAACCTTCCAACCTGTCAGTCTGAGTGAAAACAACAGACAGGCAGGCAGCGAGTTCTGGCGCCTGGGAAGACATTTCCAATTTCTACCCCATTCAGTGGAGCCTCAGGAAAAGCCCAAGCCTCCCCACTCCCAGAAGTACCATATGGAGAGCCCAGAGCTATGCCAGGTATTTCAGAACTGGGAATCACTCCTCTCCCTGCTGGCTGGGGAGCTGGGGACGTGCAAGATGAATCCTTGCTAAGGAAAAGCAAAGCAGATTCTTATCTTGACAAAGAAGTTGCTGCTGCATTTCCTACCTGGGTTGGTAGGATTATCTTTACAGTTCATTTCTATACCAGGACAGACTTTTAGATGTTGCCACAATGAGCTTTTACCTAAGATGTGTTTTGTGCTGAAGCATTGAGAAACATTTTCATACTGAGCCCTACAGCAACTTGTATCATGTGTGGTGACTAATAAGCCCAAGTTTGATTGCATTCCAGATTAAAGGAATTGCTTTTGCCTTCAAGGAGTACAGACAAGCTCTGAGCAAAAGCAGACTGAGACCTTATGTATCCTCAAATGTATGCCCAGGAGCAGGATGATATAATCAGCAGGAGTCAAGCTGACAGCCAACACTGTGCTCAGCAGATGGGTTCAGGTTTGCTTTCCCTCTCCTTTGGCATGCAAGACTGAGTTCAGGGAGCCTTGCCCCAGGTACACAACAATGCAGTACAGTCCCTCAGTAGTCTCAAGGAATTGGAACTTCCAGAAAAAAAAAATAAATAAAGTGCTCACAGTTGGGCACTGCATATTCAAACAGCATGGATTTCACAGTGCTACATCTCGGGTTAAAACCAAACCAAGCAGAACACACTCCCCTACCCCAAAACTTCTAAAAAACATTAGGCAAAGCAAAACCAAACTCCTGAAAGCAAAATTTGGCCTGTCCCTTGCCCTTCCTAACAGGGAACTGACTATTGTGGTCTCAGACAAGGAGGGAACGAGGTCACGTCTCTTGCTGCATCCCCTGAGCCTTCAAGTTGCTGGTTGTGTTTTTGTGCTATTGATCTGTGTCCCTGCCTGTCTGCAGCACTGTACCTGCCAGCACTCTGGGGACAGCTGCCCGTAATAAAACCTGCCTCAAAGTGAGATAAAGAGAACAGAAAAAGATACTGGCAGGGATCAAAGAGTTTGACCCTCAGAGAGTAAAAAGGGAGAGAATTGGCTGACTGCTTTCAGGCAAGGTCTGAGGAGAAAGACTTGCTTTTTGTCTGACCTCAAAGAAGAGGGGGAAAGCTCCATTCTTCCCACTACATGACAAAATTACATGAGCATTTCAGAACCAGCAGCAGTTACAGACCTGGGGCTTCAATACTCTGCTTTTATTACAGGACAAGTAGAAATTTAGTTCACTGCACAGCTTGGCCCATATGGGTTTCTTGCCTATGAGTATTTTAACCCCATTTCTAGGGTTTAGGACTCAAAAATTTATTGCACCTTAAATCTCAGGGAGAAAGAGAAAGTATTTCCCTAAATCCCATTTTGTCTTGTATTTCCTTCCTGTCTCCCCATCTGGCCCTTAGTGATGTTTTGCAGATGCACAGAGAATATTGTCATGTGCCTTTGGGAAGAAGCAAAGGAAAAGCCACTGCCAGAGACAGAATTCTATATATCAGAGTGATCACTTAGCCCAGGGCCACGTGCCTAAGTCAGTAAGCTGCCAAAAAATGAAGATCTACTCCAAACAAACTCTGGACCATTTGTTGGCTCAACCTCTGGCCCAGGGCACAGGGGTTGTGCCAGCTCAGGAGTTCAGGAAGGATGCTAAGAGTGAGAAACCTCTGTGTTTAAAAGGGGATGTTATGACTGCAAAGTCTGCCCTTGTTTCACCAAACTCAGGTACAGCACCAATGCTGTTCCACCCAAAAGCCCTCTCTAAAAGACACCAGGCTGTATTCTGCTGTGCACACAGGTTTGCCTTCCTCACACAGGGGCATGGCAGCAGCTCTCAGACAGATTCATGCTGATCATTTGGCCCGAAGGAGAACTGCAGGAATATTAACAGCCAGCACACGTGCCAGGGAGCTCATCCAAGTCAGGAAACAGGAGCTTCTGCCTCTGCCTCTCCTCTGTGACACGGCAGGAAAGGGGCCTGAGCCCCCCTGGCCCTGCAGCTCCCTGGGTCACACAGGCCAGCCCAGCTAAGGGGAAATGCAGGCTCAGGACAGTACCAAAAACGTGCAGAGATGTACTTGGCACTCCAGAAACGTGAAAAATCTCTGCTATCCTCCAGCATTCAAACAGGGTAAGGTGCCTTTCTTTTTTAAGCCAAAACAGAAAGCCAAAATGTGAATGATTCTCCAGTTCATGTTTTTACCTAAAGCCATTAACGCCAAAGTAACAACCCAAAGGAGATTAGACATAGGGGCTACAAAATGCAAGAGCAGCACTGAAGTGAGGGGCACAATGGATATTTTGTTTCAGTAAATTTCACAGAAAAGCGAGAAACAATTAACAGTGAACGTTAAGGACACTGCATTTTTACACAGTACTTTCAAAAGCCTGAGGAAGGCTGTGATGAGGAAAGAGTGGATGAAAGCGTTTAGGGAATGTATCTTGGATATCAGCAGAAGGAAAATAAGATGCCTACTGCCTCCTAAAAGTTGATTTCATTTTCTGGAGATTGTTCACAACAAATGTGCAGGTATGTGTTCCACCACCCATCACTGAGCCATGGGGAGTAAGAGCAATCCTCCACAGAAACATGGAGTTAAGGTTGGAAGAAGCCTTTTAAGATCAAGTCAATCATCAACCCAGCATCACCACCACGTTCATCCCTAAACCATGTCCTCAAGTGCTATATCCACACATTTTTTGAACACTTCCAGGTGTGGTGGCTCCACCTCTTCCCTGAGCAGTCTGTTCCAGTGCTTTACAACCCTTTATGTGCAGAAATTGTCCCTAGTATCCAAACTAAACCTCCCCAGTGCAATTTTATGCCATTTCCTCCTGGGCTGTCAAAACTTTTTCTCTTGACCCTCCTCCAGAAGGGTCTCTGCCCTTGTCAAAATGTGAATTCCCACAGCCCAACAGGGATTCAGAACCCTTTGTTACTGTGGGGTGCACAGATGCATTACTTCAGGCATCAGGCTGCTGATACCCATTTCCAACCATTTCAAGCAGTACTTTTCGTAAGAGAAAACAGCAGAACAATCCAACAAAACACATTTGCAGCAATCAGGCAATACAAAAAGTGGTGGAAAGCACTCTGTGCCTGGAAAAGAGCAGACCCAAAGCAGCACCTCCTGAGGAGCTGCTCCCCTGGCGAGGCACTCACCGCGATGAGGATCTGGAAGGAGCTGTGCATGACCTCGATGTAGCGGTACTCCAGGGCACAGCCGATGACAGAGATGTAGGAATGGTTATCCAGCCCCTTGATGCCAGACATTGAAGCCTCCTTCCTCACACAGCCAGGGCCATTTTCACTCCACCAGGACTGGTGCCGGGAGATGTTGAATGTCAGGAGCTCGCTGTCCTAAAGGGAGAAGTTGCAAAGAGAGCTCTGAGAGTGGCAACCTCACACGGCAGCTCCTTTGTGTCAGCTCCCCATAGAGGCAAAAGGAAAACCAGACTCAGAGCAGCTTATCAAAAAAAAAGTTCCTATTTTTAGTTATTAATACAAAGAAAAAAGGGAAAAACATTGGGGTGAATGTACACCTCCTCTCTAAGTCTTGGGTAATATCATATTCTATTGTCTTTCAATCAATCATATAAAAGTACAATAATTCTAAGATAAAAATGTTTCTATGGACTCTGAGAGATGCTGGGCACCGACTAGATACATCCAGCCTGCACTATATCCTGCTTGCAACCACACGCTGTCAGATGGAGGTCATATTAAATCAATGGAAAACTTTCTTTCTGAGATCCCCACTCCCCAAAAATGCTAGGACAGATCAAAACACAATGGCTTGATATTCCTTCATAGAATATTAGAATGGGTTGTATTGGAAGGGACCTTAAAGAACCTTCCACTATCCCAGGTTGCTCCAAGCCCTGTCCAGCCTGGCCTGGAACACTTCCAGGCATGGAGCAGCCACAGCTTCTCTGGGCACCCTGTGTCTGGCCTCCCCAGCCCCACAGGGAAGAATTTCCTCCTGTTATCTACTGTAAACACGTGTCCCAGCCAGGCTGCTGTGGTCAGAACCATTCCTGAGGCAGCCCTGCAAAAAATCCATTTCACCATCCTGTAGCAGCACAGTTTGGACACAGGCTGCAGACCCAAGAACATTTTGCTACTGGTTTCTTCATCCAGAAAAGAACCCTCAAGTTTTGGGTTTGGGACATGAACCCTGTAACTCTGGAGGAAAAAGGTAAACAAGGCAGCACTCAGTGTCCTGCCAGGCTCTTCCCAGCACAGGAATCAACACAAGCACCTGGAAAATATGAACTTAGTGACCCCAAAGTGAGTTTCAAAACCCAACAGATCTTCCTCTCTTCCTAACTTTTAACCTGACAAGGTCCTGTACCGTTTTTACCTGATTTCCTTCCACACTCTCCATGTCTGGTGCTTCTGCAGCTCCTGTCAGCTTACCTAGCCCAGCTGACCTCACAGTGCTGACTGCAGCTTCTTGTGAACTCCTCCCCTGCAATTTCTTATCAACTTTCCTTCGAGAGGCTTTTTGTTTTGGTCCCTTCTCATTCCTAGGTAAGTACTTTACACCAGCTGAGGGGGTTACAGAGTGAAATGCCACACAAGGAGTGCAGGGCTTTGGTGTGCAGCCAGGTGCTTATTTAAAAATGACCACACTTTCCTCTCACTTGAGAAAAGCTCAATATTTATAGGAACACTCAGAGGAGCTTTGGGATTTTGAGCTTGCAGGACATGGCAAAGGTAAAGACAAACTCAGGACTGGCTGAACAGCTGCAACCCTTCATGGATGAGTGCCAAGTGCTGGCTGCCCCTGAAGGCCTCTCAAGTCACTTTGATGCAGAATCAACAATTCCTTTTGACCACAAAACAAGGCAAGGGGTTGGAAGTTTCATTCTGAAGAACAGATTAAAAAATTTGAAGGCAGAGAATCTGTATCTCTACAGAGAGGGATGAATGCTGGATACCCACACATCACCCACCCATTACTAAAGGTTTTAGCACCTATCCATAAACTATTTCACACTGCTCGTGCCAGGGTCCTGCACAGTCCCAGGAGGAAAGCTGTGGCTCCCAGAACAGCAGCAGTCAGAGCTTAGGGTATTCACACTTCCCAACATGGAAAACCTCACATGGCAGCTCCTTTGTGTCAGCTCCCCAAAGAGTCAAAAGGAAAAACAGATTCAGAGCAGCTTATCCAAGCCCCTGCTCCAAATTACCCTCCAGAGGGAGGGCCTGTCTCCACAGCCAGCACAGGAGCCAAGCCAGGCAGTCCTGCAGATATAAAACAGACACTGAAAAAAGGCCAAACTCGAGTCACAGGGGCAGGAACCTGAATGCCAGCCAGAGAACAGCCTGAACTGCCCCGCTCTGCACCTCGTGTGGGGACCCTCTGTCCACCACAGACACCCCAAACCAGCCTGCAGAGCCCTCATCCCAATCTGCTGCAGGAAGCACGTGCTGAGAAATGTGGACAATTAACTGAGAAGACAGCTGCCAAGCTCCTGACATAATCACCACAGCAGATGGCATGGGCTGGGCAGGAGATGGAGGAGGGCACAGGGATGGAGAGTGGCACTGGGGCAGCAAAGACAATGGGAAAAACTCCATGAACAGTTGGGAGTTTAGCCCTCTGCCGGGCTTCACCCTTCAGTGGCCCACACATAGCTCAGGAAGGCACCAAATCCCAGCTTTTCTGCAAAGCTTGCTCTTTTTCCCACAAGTTTGGGTGTTATGAGGCTGATGGATTTTCCCCAGCCAAAGCCAGGCTTCCAGGCTGGGCTCTTCTCCCTCTCACAAGGCACTCGCTGCTTTGGCTGGGGAAAGAAGCAAACATCTTTCTCAAAAAACAAAACAAAACCCCCACAAACAAACAGAAAGAAACCTCCGCAAGTGAATTCCTGTTTCTTTGCCTGGGGCTCCCCCCATTAGCTCTGAACCAAAGCTGCTCCCCAGGGCACCACAGGATCTACTCTCAGTCCCCAGGGCTTCCCTCTCCCAGCTCACAGATGGTGCCTTCCCAAACCTTCTGCCTCACTGATGGAGAGCCCTCAGTGTCCTCCCTGCTCCTTACAGAGGCATCAGTGTGTGTTTGGCAAGGCAAGAAACAGGCTGCTTTCCTTCTAGAATCTCCCTTTTGTCAGCCTTCAGAGATTTGGCTCTGCCTTAACTTTGCTGCTGAACTTGTAAATTCAGCCTGAAAAAGCAGAGCAGGTGTGGCTGGAGGTGGGCAGGTGGAGGAACAGGAGGTCCTAACCAGCTTTTTGTCTGCAATCACACTCCAGCTCTGAGCAAAAAAAAAAAAAAAAAGGAAAAAAAATTAAAAAGTTCTACATCAGTGAAGAGCAGATTGGCAAAACGGAGCACATTTGGCTTCTAAAAGCACCACAATGCCTCCAGCTCAGGAGCCATCCAGCTCACAGATGTAAAGTGAATACTGATTGCACACTGGGATCAGGGAATGTCTCTGTGCCCAGAGCCACCCTCCTGAACCAGCACCTGTCTGGAGCAAGGGCAGCATGAGAGGGTCTCAACATGCAAAGCAGAGCTGTTCCTTTGCCCCGGCTGGATGCCCTCGGGGGATACCTGTGTGATGGGGCACAATAAAAAGAGCACTCAAGAAAATCCCTTAATTGACCTCCCGTTGCTCAGAGCTTGCTGGGAGACTACATAAACAACTCCAGGATATCTCCTGTGGTTTGCCAGCTTCGTTTGTGAGAATACAGTTGGAGAAAAGCGACCATGAATAGAACAGCACACAAAAATCAGGAGAAAAGAGCCAGTTTTAAGAAGGTTTAGGGAACAGCTGTTTCCCAAAAGCTTTCTGCGATGCATTTAAAATCTAAACACACTGAAATGCTCCCAGAAGTGGAATGTGGGCTGGGAGATGTTCATCAGCCCCAGCAGTGAGCCAGCCCTGCTGCAGGGAAGGGATCTGTGTGTGCCTGGCCCCTCCTCATCCCCTGCCAGGGCTTTCACTGCCTCCTTAACCCCCAGCCTGGGGGAAAACACTGACCAGCAGCGACCCAAGCTCCTTCTCTGAGCAGGCCAGCCAAAAAATCACATCTCCCTCTGAACTGCTGCAGCACCCGTTTGCCACCAGGGTGAGAGGGAAGACAAGAGCACTGAAACTGCAGCACCTGCATTTCCCAAGCCTGTTTTCCCCAGCGTGGCCCACGGGAAACTCACACCTACCTCCAACACCCACGGAGCCAGCTGCGTGCCTGTGCTAAAATAGCTTCCTGAAAGCTGTTCTGAAATTGTTTTCTCAGGGACACTATCAGAGATGGTTTTATTTCTTGTTGTTAACAGCCTTCTGAACTGCCTCCCCCAAATTTCCTTAATTATCAGGCAAAACCATGCTAGGACAGCCCTGGAATAAACTGAACCTCGTTTGGGAGCCACCAGAGCTTGACAGAAGAATAATTTTGAATCTTTTTAGATGGAAACATTTCTTATTAAAATAGGAAATATAATGTTCATCTTTCAGTCCTGCATCACCTTGAGACACAGAGAAACACTCCCAGTGTCTCTCAGTGGGCTTGTTGACAATGCCAGAGCATTCAAAGCCAAATCCCAGGCTTCCAAGTTTTACATTCAGAAGGAGCTGAGGGACAGTTTTACATACACATGAATTTATCCATCCTCCTGGTACTTTAACCAGGTACAAAGTCATCCCAAGATGCCACCCAGATTCTCTGAAATACAAATAACCCCTGTTTGACTCACAAGGGCTGCTTCCATTTCAAGAGGAGATTTAGACCACCACGACTCTGGATTCAGATCAAAGCAATGCATAGATAAGAGAGAATATAAAGGAAGGATGAAAAAAAAAAAATAGAAATCATCATTCAAGAAGAATAACTCCAGAGGGAAAAGACAAAGGAATACATTGAAATACAGAACACCAGTTCCTCAAACCTTTCTGAACATTTCTCAAGTAGATGATGAAGAGTCAGTCAGCATGGCAGCTGGACAGACATATGCTCATATGTCTTAACAGCAGGATTTTAATAATTAACTCAGACTGAGGGGTTGCAGGAGGGATGTGTTTCACGCTCGAGTAGACAGGGAGAAGCTTAACATATTATTGCAAACCCAGCCTGCAAACTGCAGAGCTATCTCCCAGCAATTCACCCACCCAAATGGCCAGATGGACACGGGAAAAGAGGGAGACGGGACAGGAGGAGGAACAGCAACCTGGAAATTGGGCTGTGAGCCCCACCACGGAGCAGTGGCACAGCACTTGGAGCTGCAAGTGTGCTCAGGAGGATGGGCAGAGCAAGGCAAGGCTGCCAGAAGCTGCTCAGAGCACATCACCACCTCCTGCCAGGGCTGAGAATCAGCCCTGCAAATCCAGGCTGCTCCAGCACTCGCCTGCTCCCTGGCAGAGCCCTTCCAGGAAAGCTGGCATGGGCTGTGTGCTTGGGGAGGCCCTTCCAGCAGCAGGGGAAGGGCTTCCTCAGACACTTGTGCTGATCCACCTGTGTCTGGCCACCCAAGGAAGTTCTGCTGGGCCATATTTCACACTCTTACTCCTGCTAAGGAAAGATTCCAAGATACAAATCCCTGGCAGGATAGAAAGACAGAAATCAAATCAGTTTAGCTCCTCCAAGAAGTAGGGAATAGGTTCAGTGATCAGTAAAATACATTTTCCTCCTAAATAAAAAAAATCAGTATAACTAGTGATTTGTAGCAGGTTAGTAATTATTTAAAACTCCCCTGAGCAGGGCTGACCAGAACCGCATCCTCAGCAATTCCATGGTCAGGAGACATGGAAGGGACATGCTGGAATAACCTGGAGGATAAAGGAGCCCTTCAAGAGATGTGAAAGACAGGAGGAAAGAGAGGGTGAGAAGTGGAGGAAAGATGCAGCAGAGAACAATTCCTTGGTAAGGGAAAGCAACAGCCAAACTGCACCTACCAGCCCTTATTCTACTGATGACCTGGAATTTATAACTGAGAGATTGTCTCAACCCCTTTGCTCAATCACTCATGGGCTGGCAGGGGACTGTTCACTGGATCAGCCAGGCACCCAAAGCAAGGGGGGCACAACAACAACATCCCTGCTCTTGTGAACAGCACTTCCCTGCTCCCATCCTGTATCCCTTCACCACTGTGAAATCAGGCCCAGGCAGCAGAGCACAAAGAATTGTTTGCAGTGAGTGCACATAACTGCTTCATCATCTTTTCAGTTCCCTGGGCTTCTCTAAAATCTGTTAAATCAGAAACACTTGAATCCTTTCTGTCCTTTCTCACCCCACCTGAGTTATCCCCTGTCTCAGCTGCTCTGGGCTGTCATTACCAGGCACCAAGTCAACAAAACTCCATTCTCTCCAGTCCCCTGCCCTTTCTGCATTCTCTCACTGTAAATAAGCTGCTGACAGAGCCTGCCCTGGCAGGCTGCCCTTGTCAGAGCACAGCAGGGTCAGTGCAGGGCTGGCAGGAGTGCCACCCTCCCACTCCCCCAGGCTCAGCAGCAGTCACACAGCAAACAGCACCCTGAAGACCTGCAGAGCCCTCAGCCCCTTCAGGGACTTGCACAACCCTGTCCAAGCACTCCCCAGTGTGCTCATGCTTAGTCTGGTAGTTAATGAGTTCACGTTTACCAGACCAGCTCCATCAGCCGCCCTCCATCAAAGCTCTTCTTCCAATATTTGCAGTTTCCCTGCCCACTGCCAGGCTCATGATGAGCTTTGACTTTGACTTCTGGTCAGAACTGGAGGTCAGCCTCCTCCTGAGGGCCCTGGGGGCACACACAGGTACCTGCAGCCCTGCTGCCATCCACTCCCAGCTGACAGTGCCCTGCCCTTGCCCAACACTTGTACAGCCAAGCCCAGATGTCCTTCTGGGGTCTGATCCCATGACTGACATCAATAAAACACCTGCTGCCTTTGGATCAGGTTTCCAGAGATGCAGCAGGAGAGCCCAGCCTGTGAAGTGTCCTAGAGAAACCTCAGCTCCTTCTCCAGGTGCATCTTTTGGTCTCTTGTGGAAGCGAAGATTTGTTTTGCCACTACAAAGACCCAAATTACTTCAGTGAAAGTGGAGGAGGATGGAAAGCAGCATCATTAGTTTTCCTTACAAAACAGCTTTTTAAAGTGAGAATAACTCATTAAGAACAGAGGCAAGGCTGTCAACTACTTTACAGCCAAACAAGCACAAATTCTCTCTTGGTTTTGCTGGCTGCCATTAAATGAACTAATTTCTCATTGCAGCCTGAGAGGAAAGTCCACTGAGTCAGTAACAACTTACACTGCAGCCCAACTCTATAAAAAATGTCCCCAGTGACAAGTGTCACCCTGTAGGCTAAATAAAGCCTCTCTGTGTGCTGGCTTGGCTAAAATGAGCCCCAGCACAGAGCAAGGTTACCAGGTGAAGCTCCTCTGTGGCACAAAAGGAGTTTGTGGTGTTGTTTGAACTGCAGAACAGCAACCTGACGTGTTGCACTGCAGGCTGGGATTAGCAAACATGAGTATCCAGCTGGCTGGAAGCAAACACTGGCTCTGAGAAGCTCCCAGAGCAGTTTATCAAGCCAATATTTTCTCTGCAGAAGGGAGCATTTAAACAGTTACATAAAGTTCTTTTTTTCAGTTGGTCACAGCCAACATCGAGATCATCTCAGGCTGAGATTTCAGACTATGAATAATCACTGTTTTGGGCAGAACTCCCTCAAAGTTTATGGAGTTAATTGAGAGGGGAAGTGAAGATGAATTGAGACATTAGGAAGTCACATTTTCTTATCTGCAAAGGATTTAAGCTGCCACTCCTGACTTGCTGTAGGCCTGATAAAACCACAGGGCAATTCCAATTATGCCTGCAACTCCAATGCATGACCTGGAATTTAGGCCAGATGTGGAGTGCTCTGAAATGAACCTGCATCCCAAAATCTGAGTCTGCTGTGTTACAGCAACACTCATAATTCATTGCTTACAGTCCAGGCTTAATTTAGGGCCTGCCTCCCATTTTTATTATTTCTGACTCACCCCTCATTAGGCAGACAGCAATACTCGGCTAATCTAGTCTTCAAAGAGCTTTGCATATTAACTCAAAACAGCCTGGCCAGCAGCCATGAGTAACTACCACTGTACTTAAAAAGGAAGAAATGAGGCAGGGAAGCCATCCCAAGGAGATGAGCCAGATCCCCCTGGGGAGGGATGTTCTCTGTTCAGCAGACAGAGGAGCCTCTCCCCAAAGGTACAACAGGAAATATTTTACCTGTTGTGGCAACAACCAGGCATTTATCCCTGCTGCAGGGGACTGAAATGCAGCAAGTCTTCAGCAGGACTGGGAGGCACAAAAACATCAAGAGAGGGTCAGGTGTAGTGTTCCAGCAAAGTCCTTGGGTCAGGTGAACCCAGCCAGCCCCTGCTGCAGCCCTTCCCTGGGACAGGCTGGTAGGAAGGCCACGCTCAGTGCTGCACCAGGGCCCTCCCCTCCATCACACACCTTCTTGCCAAGGTGGGCTCAGATCCCAAGAGGATCAGCTGCAATCTGGTGATGTCCTAGCCCTCCTCAGCCTCCTCTGCATCACTGCTGGGAACAGCCCCTCAAACCCCCTCTCCCCCCAGGATGGCTCTGCTCCCAGCCCTGCTCTCACCTCTGAAAGCAAATGCACTCCACCTGCTGTGAGGGCAGGGTTTAGTGCAGCCACCACCTGCACCAACCAACCAAGAGCTCCAGAAATCACCAGTGGCTCCTCAGCTTCCCACACAAGCAGCAGCATTCCCCATCCTTGACAAAGCAGCACCATCCACAGGCAGGAGGGCAGGACATGCTCCCAGGCAGCCCCCAGCCCTGCCAGCCTCCCCTCCCCTGGCAGCTGCTCCCCCTTGGCTGCAGAGCCTGGCACTCACCTTTGAGAGCCCTCCCACTTCTAAGTAAAAGCAGATGATGAAGATGTTCCAGGTGACCCAGACTGCAGTCCAGATGGCATACTGGGAAGGAATGGGGTTGGGGAGAGAGAAGCAATAAACATTAGGAAGTGACTGGAATTAGTGTGTGTGTGTATATATATTTATATTTATGTATGTGTGCTCTTTCTGGGAATGCCCTGAGTCAGCACTGGAATCCTCTTTCTCTTCTCTGTGTTCCATATTCAGATGCTCTCTTGCCTGAAAAGCCACACAGGGGCAGCAGTCTGGAGGGATGGAGGAGTTTCTGGGCTGCATTTGTCCAGCCCCTCACCCTCCCTCTGTGCTGGGCAGCGTTTGGGCAGAAAAAACAATCTGAAACCTCCCCAGCTTGGCACAAGCAACTTCCCGAGCACAGCCAGGCCCTCCTGCTAGAACAGGGCTCCTGCCTGATCTCCCTGGGGCTTTTGCTGTGGTGTGTTGTCATGGTGTGCCTCAGTTTCCCTGGTTTCTCCCTGAAGTTTCCTTCCCCAGGTGTCAATCGCCTCTTCTTTCCCCCACCTTGACTCCTGCTGGGCACTGTCTATCAACCCAGAAATTCCAGGGGAGCACCGAGTGATTGGCAGGTTCAAAGGATGCTCTCCACCACCTGGGGGGTCATTGGCTCATCCAGGTGTCCCCCCATACCTGGCTGGTGGTTCCCCCCTCCCCATCTCCCCTGGGTAAAAGGACGGGCACAGCACGCACAGGGGGTTCTTGTGGGGCTGTTACTGCATTCAGAGGCCATGCAGCCCAGAATAAAAACTCTGGATTAAACCCTCCATGAGGACTGACTCCTCCTTCACCACCGCCTTAAAGGGTTTCTCTAGCACAGGGGGGCCTGAGGAGTGACCCTCTTCAAGAGCAAGCCCCAGCCGTGAGCACTGGAGCTCGGGACGTGCCTGGATTTGTCCCCACGTGCTCACAGCGAGCCAGAGCGCCTCTGGGCTGAAAACTCCACAGGTGCCCTGCTTGGTTCAGCAGCAGGGACCAGGCAAGCCAAGGCAGTCCTGTTCAGTAACACTGGTAAAAACCAACGGGCTTTGCTGTGTCCCCCCTCTGGTGGCACATCCCCCAGGGCACAGCCGTGGGTGCTGTGTCACCAAGGTGTCACTCACCACCACGATGTAGCGAGGCCGGTACTGGATGGTGCCGAAGAGCCCCAGGATGACGATGATGATGTGCAGGAAGTTGGCGAGGATTGGGGCCCACTGGTACCCCAGGAAGTCGAACACTTGCCTCTCTAGTGCAGCGAGCTGGGAGGGAGAAGGACAAAGGGAGTTACAGGTCTGCACCCGCGGTGTTTGTGCTCAAGGTCTTCACGCGCTCCCTGAGCAAAGCCCTGCGGCAGCTGAAGCTGGGACTCCATTCCCAAAGCAATTTGCTGCCTCTGAACCAGGTCAGTAGGACACAAGGCTTGTTGACACATCCCCCTTCCCCTGTGCCCCCACCCCAGCTCCTCTGATGGCTGAGCCCCAGTGCTGTGTGGAGCATTCCTCTGTGGTGTGCACTGCGGGCAGAGGACAGAGGGGAGCAGAGGGATGGCAACATCTTAAATCCTGAACGTGAAATACGTTCACAAAGATGTCAGTGTAACTTTCTAGAGCTCATTTGTCAGAGCCTTCAGCATCACTCCATCATTCCTGACACCTCCTGTGTCTCTGCTCTCCAGCACACATCCATCAAAGTGAGGGAGAGGAGGAAACTCTCTCCTCCACCTTTGCCCCTCAGAAAATGTTGCCACCAGTAAGGAAATTCTGCCAACACATCAGTTTTCCAGGACAGGCTGTGCTCCTCTCCGGCACTAATAACATGGTTCAAGGCTAGTACTGTGTTCTAGACATAAAACTCCATCACTGTTGCAGTGCTGGGGCTGATTTTCAAACCATACCTGCATAAAGATGTGCATTTTACCTGTAGCCATCATCTGTGTATCAGACAACACCTGGTCCCCTGGCCCTGAGCCTCTGTGCAGCTGAAAGAGCACAATGCAATTGCTTGCTGGCCTTTGCATGCCCACAGCCTTTAAATGATATATCTATAGGAGAAATATACTGAGTCTAGGGGAAAAACTGCTAATGCAGGTTTTTCTGCTGTGCACAGCCTTACATGGAGAGATCTTCTCTCTTTTTGTCTTTATTAACACAGTGCAAGCCGCTCCATGGACCTGTGTCTTCCCTGTCAGCACAAGATTTGAAAGTATGTTTAATTATCACAGTAGGCCATTGGGATTGCATTACGACATTTCATATTTACTCTTGGCTAAATAAATAATTACAATTTACTATTGACAGTCAATATTAATTTGACTCCTAATCAGGCATTAACTATGAGTAATCCTGGTCTGCTGTGTGTAATCAGCTATGTGACACCTTTTCCTGGCTGGGATCTAAGCAGCAGTGCTTCTGTGATGGCTTAAAGCATTTAAGGATGTGAGTGGCTGCAGGTTCCTCTCAAGCCCCAGGATGAGAGAAGCCACATCTATTAAATGGCCATTATTCCTCCTTCTTCCTGGCTCAGTGGGGAAATTGCCTTCACACCTCTCTTGGGCTAGGAAGGTATTGCAATTCCCAACACTGCTTTGAAAGTTCAATAAAAATCTGTATTTCAAAGGGATCTGTGGTTAAGGGCAATCAGTCAGGGAGGGGTAGGCAGCTTTCCCTCTACAGTATCTTATTGCCAAGTAAAGAAGGACAGAGAGTGGGGAAGGAATGGAGGCAGTCAACAAATCTCTCTCTTCTGCCAAATAATCTTCCCTTAGAAGCAGCCCCCTCTGATCCTCTGGAGCACCTGGAGATGCTGTGGCCACGGAGGGGCAGTGGGGCCAGTGCTGCTCCCCCAGCACAGCAGGTTTGCCACATCAGCCACAGGTTAAACCCTTAATCCTTCAGGAGGGATTAGCGCACATACCTTAGTGACACTGGGACATTTGGGATCCTGACTGGCTGGCAGTGAGCCCCTTGACTGTGACTGCTTCATCCAATCAGGCATTTAATTGGCTTTGTGTGCTCCAGGAGGAGTGGGAGAGCCTCACCCAGCCCGGGGACACAATGGGGTGCTCACTGAGGTACCTGCCCAGCCTCCCCTCCTGCCTGCAGGCTCTGAAAATCAGGATGAGCACAGATCCTCCTACCCAGCTTCTGCCATGAGCTCTCCACTCCAGAATCAGGGCAGTCCATGTCTGCAGGAGTGTTTTCTTCTCCATTCTACTCCACAAGTATTTGTCATTAGGGCTGTATAAGTTTCTCCTGCCACAGCCTCGTGATGTTTCCTGGTTTGTTTGCACCAGGAAGAGACTGGGCTGTAAGTGACAGATAAATGATCACCCTGGAGATGGACCTGCCAATCTACACAACTTCAGATTTGGGCACAGCTCTTTGAGAAGTCTCTGGATTTTTCCCCATAACCCCAAAAATTATCTCACGCCATACTTCCTTCTCCCTCACCTCCCTAGTCTCCAGGTTCTTTCCATCCTCATTCACTTGTGCCACCTTGCCAGCATTATTAAACTGGTTTTGTGTACCTGGGAGCTGCAGGCATCTCAGCTGCTCCAGAGATGGGCTGTGCCCATCTGCTGGCTCAGGGAAGGAGAGGGGATGTGGGATGTGTGAGCTCACACAAGCTGTTCCCTCATCTATTAAAAAAAATTCTGATTTTCTGTAAAACATGCTGGTGACAAGCAAATGCTTCTGATGAAACTCCAACACTGTTTTAATGACAGGCAGGGAGTGAGTCTGTGCTGCAATCCAGCCATTGGAAATGCAGCTTGAAGTTATCCTGAGCTTCCCCCTGTTCCCTCAGGAACTTACCATAATGAAGGAAATATTTGCTGAAAACAAACGGATGAACACCCATTTCACTCATTACTCTGCAGCTCTGTGTGCACAGCTTACCCCCAAAATGCTGCTGAGATTTGCAGGCAAACAGGGCTGATGCTGGGGCTGAGCTGGCCTTGATTTGGGATTGCCATGTGAAGAATGTCACATTGTCCTTCAGCCCTGGTCCCTGCAGTCCTGCTCAGAGATGGCAGGGTCAGGGTTTGCCCTGATCTGTCTGTCCCCTCTCTGGGTGCCCCTTGCTGAGCAGGGAAATGCCATCTTTCTCATGTGCTGCCAGGTGTGTGCACAGCAATACCCTCACTGTGGTGTTCCTTACAATGATTCACAGTGTCCTATTGAGAAAGCCTATTATATTCCAGAGATACTGGTTGTAAAGAGAAATGTCACAGATTGTGGCACAGGTTTCAACCCACTCAAAGCTGACAGGACCTTTCCATCAGGGGGGACAACTTTTTCTTCTTTATGACTGTTCTTATTAAAACCAGGATTCCTTCTGCTCCTTTTGCTTCTCTAACCCATAGTATACTTTTACCTTTCATTCTTTAAATTAAATGATTTATTGCAGCACTAAAATCAGAAGAGTTGTGGCAGAATTTTCTCTCCTGAAATAAACCCCATTTCTGCTGATCTGAGTGAAACTGGAGTAGCAAATAACCACGTGAAGCAATTGCTAGCCAGGCAAACGAGACAAGCCAAAGCTCTCTCTTGGGCCATCACTCATTTATACAGCTGGGGGAGAGCTGAAAGGCAGAGGGATGTTCTGCAGCTCATGGAGCCCATCCCATAGCCCACACACAGAGCTCTGGACATGCTCAGGGGCATCACACCATTAAACTTCTCCAGAGAGGGAAGCTGTACCTGAGCTGGAGGAGTGCCCACAGCAAAACAGCAAAAAACTCCTAGAAAACATTTCAAAACATGGGACAGTTTCTCACTGGGGGTTCAAACCATTCCAGTGGCTCTGCAGGACAGTGTCACTGGAGGTGTCACTGCCAGCAGGACACTCCAAGCTGGTTCAGCATGGCCTGGGGGTGCTTGTTTATATTCCAGTCCTTCAAATCCTTTCTATCCCCTCAACTTTGTCTTCTGTTGCTTCTCTCCTGCTGATAAGCTGGAGAGTCCAACCTGTGCCCCCATACTGCTGAGGAGGAAGGGATGCTCCTGAACAGTCAGGTACCTGTAATTCCTTAACTCCCTGTCCTTTATAGCCTACTATCAAAGCCATGTTATCAGCTAGATTTGCCCTTCTTAATTTATTAAGCTTTTAAAGCCTTTAATCTTATTTGGTTTGTATCTGTGTCTTTCACTGCATTTCTGAAATCAATTGGGACACAAAAGAAAAAATATCAGTCTCAAGACACATTGATGTGACTCATCCAGACACAGGAAAGGTGCTCAGAAAACCCCACAACAGGTACAGTCACACATCCATTTGTATCTGTTTCTGTAAGAAAACCTGCTTTTCACCTTTCCAAGTTAAGCTTCAAAATGAAATGCTAGAAATAAATATCCAAGTGGGCAATAAGGGGAACAAATAGGAAAGGCTGATCCTACTGCTGAAAAAAAAAATCAACAAAAGAACAAAAAAGAGAAGAAAAAAATGTTTTACCCAGAAACCCAGGCAATTTTCCACTTGACCTATAAGAAAACAACCTGAAAACTCCTTTGCTGCTCCTTGTGTCTCAGTGCTGTGAGGACACAGCAGCTCCAGCTCTTGCTCCTGCTCCAGCTTCAGCTGGGACTAAATTTGCCACTTAACCCTGTGTGTATCCTTTCTCTCCAGCCTGAACCCAGCAAGAGCCCCAGCTGCAGCCCTGGGCTCCCCCTGCACTGCTGGGATGTTCTGGCTCCTGGCTGATCCCAATGCCCTGATCCAGGCTTTGATTTCCTGCCAAGTGCCTTCGCTTTTTAAGATGCTCTTTCTTTGTCTGCTGTGCAAACACAGCTTTCACTGGAAAAGGCCTTTTCTTGAGGAAAAACCTGCACTGGTTTCCTGAGGTATTTTGGCCATGGGATGTGATCGCTCAAGCTCAGGGCAGTGTCTCAGTGCCATGATCCCTGTGATGGAAATTTACATCCTGCTACCTGAAACAGCAGGAAGAAATTAAAAAGTCTCAGATTGTATAATTTGAAAAATATATCTATTTAGGTTTTGAACACAAATATCTTTTTTTTTTTTTTCGTTCTTCCACATGGTTTAAGTTTGGCAATGCAAAAGACCTGTCTGCTGTTTATTATTATTAATATCTTGGTATTATTATGATATAATGTTTAATTCTACACAGCTTTCTGTATAATTCCTTTGACTTTGTAAATGCTGGGACAATGCTAGAACTAAAGAATCCTAAACCCAAGCTGCTGTGTGCTGAGACTATCACAAGTGAGCAAAAAAAACCCCTTCTGTGCCAGTGCTTATT